TTCTAGGAACATCCAAATAGGGCCTAAGTTGCTCCACAACATTTGTGGAAGGAGTCCATGGAAATAGTCTACAGCTAGATATTTGAGACACGTTGTTTCCTGTACCATGAATTCATACATTACTTGTTCATTTGCTTATCCATTCAACAAATGTTTACTACATGCCTACAAAGTAAAATGCACTGTTAGTCATTGGAGTAGCTACAAAGTTAGGTAAATCACAGTCATATTTCCTAACTTGTTCAATATTTTGTCCCATTGTCCAAAGAATTGCTTGAAAAGAATTAGTTTTTTTCCTCTGTCTAAACTTGAAGACAAGAATAACTGAGTTACACACTTAATCTGAAAGAATCACTCCCATCTATTATTTAGCAGGTCTTTAGGGAAGCAGCTGTGTGTTAAATAGGACCTTCATGAGAGAGATTTTGCATAATCATTCTAGAGAAGTGGTCTTAAAGTAGTCTTAAAAGAACAGAGTACAGACAGACCATCAACTTCCTAATCCTGGACACTAAGTCTCTCAATGCATTCTAAGATAGTATTAGTTTGGAGTTTTTGTTGTTGTTTTTTGTTTTGTTTTGTTTTGTCTGTTTATTCTGGAAGGAGAGTGCCACTAATGGTTGTGTTGACAAAAGCTTTCTGAGGATCAGCCTAGCTAAGTATAGAGAGGCTCATTACTTCCATCACCAAGTAGCCTGGCCACTATAAGATGATTTATTTAGCCATTATAACCCATAAAGCAAAGAAAAATGCAAAATAACCCTTGTTCCTATGTATCACCCCTCACATCCTACTACTTCTCAGTGATGGTAGCTCAATGGTAGATCACAATTCTTAGACTGTGTATAAATTTTAACTTAGCCATTAGTACTCTTAAATGTGAGATCTTTATTAACTTAAATGTTAGTACTCTTAAATGTGAGATCCAGTGACCAATGAGTGGAGAAACCTAATCATATCAATATTGACATTCTCACTATAAATAATACCAAATAACAAGGAAGTTGTAGCTAAATGGAAAGATGGGTCACAGGTTGTCCATGAAGAAGCATTTAAAGGAGTTGGTAGATTGGTTTTAAGTAGAATTGGGATGCACTAGACATGGTAAGGAGGACCAGGTAACATTTTAAAATGAAATTGACTATATGTTAACAGACAGAAAATCATTGTTTATCATCATAGGATTTATTTCTGAATCAGTTAGTTGTCTGTGTAAAATCAGACTGTTGACTTATGAGAGAAAAGAACAAAATTAATTCCAAATTAGAAGAAATGTGGCATGAAATTAAAAAGACTCCAATATGACCCATTTTAGTAATCTCTTGATGCCTAGAGAAGCATAAAGTTATAAAGGTGGGATGCCATCAAATTATGGAGGGCCCTGTATGTCAGGCAAAATTTTACTCGATGGTAATAGGGAACCACTGAATATTTTTGTGGAGGAGATTTTTAAGACCAGATCTATACACAAACAATATTAATCTGGCAGAAATATGGAAGGATGGATTGTAAAATGGAACAAGTAGGGGTGGGAAGTCCTAATAAGAGGCTAATGCTATAGGCCAGGTAGGTGGCAAACTTGGATGGAAATAAAAATAAGTCCAATTTTGAATCTATTTAGTATGGAATACTGGTGGTCTTTTTAATTGAAGATACACTTATGGAGTTCAGAAGAAAGGCCAAGAGTGGACATAGATATTTGGAAATTTTCTACATGGTAGTAATTGTTGAAATCATGGGAGTAAATGATATCACTAAAGACAAGAGTGTGGAGAGAGAAGAAAGAGGGACAAGGGCAGAGCTGTGGGGAATACCCATTTTATAGGTTTGGGAAAAGAAAAGTGTATAGAAGAGTCATTAGAAAAATCTGAGGATCCCAAGAAGAATTCAAGTCTAAAGCCAAGGAAGGAGTGTTTGAATCCAAAAAGAAGATGGAATCAGTAGTGCAACAGTATAAAAAAGTCAAGGGGGATCAAGACTAATAAAAGGGTATTTGATTTGATGAAATTGGTAGCTATGTTGAGGTAGACAGGTCTAGAGAAGGGTGTTTTAGGAACAGGAATTCCTATCTTATCCTAACATATCTAAATACATTAGTAAGCAGATAGTGGTATGAGAGACTGAAAATGCATGAGAGAGGAGGGGAGGAGGGAAGAAGGAATGATTGGGTCTGGAGGAGAGGTGGGAAGGAGTGGTATCAAGGGTAGTTGGAAGGATTCACCTTAGCAAAGAATAGGAATGCCTCTGTTATCAGAAGGAAGAAAACAGCATTAATGTTGAGAAGTTCTGAGGAACAGAAGAAAGAAGATGAGGGAGCTCATAAGAGATGGCCTCAATCCTAAATGCATATAGTTAAAATTAAGTCAATAAAATATAACAATGAGTGACTATACTGAGCAAAGTCAGGGTCATTTTGACCCAAGGTCTATGCTAAAGCATGATGGGATAAAAACATCTCATCTGCTGAATTCATTCTTTGTTCTCAAAGAGGTTCTCAAAGCATGACCTAGAGCATCCTAACATTTACATGGACTCTCATAATAGTCATATGGGGGGAAAGTTACACTGTTCTTTCAGTTCTTTCACTGTTACAGTTACACTGTAAATATAGGACAAAACAATAAAATGATTTCTATTTAATCATGTTATCTCTTGAAAGGCTTTTCCCCTCAAATAAATTATTGTAACCATCATAGGAGAAACTTAAAATGAGCAAAGCAAAATCTTTGAAATGGTACAGATTTTAGATAGATATTTAGCTGTTCCTTACAGTCAGGTTCAAAAATAGTGAGTAAGTTTCCACTCAATATGCCAGAAACTGAGTCATTCTCTAAAACAACTGTTTTTAAAACATATAATTTGAACATTTCTGCAGAAAATTTTGTGTAAGCAATAATATGTAATAGGAATGAACGTAGTCATCAAGGGCAAGCAGATACAGGATTTCACAATCATCAGTAAATTCATTCAACAAGCATTTTTTCAAGCACCTACTATGTGTAAAAAAAACACTCAGAAATATGGATAAATGGCATAATTCCTTCCTGCTCCCCTTACCTCCCCCAATCCCTACCAAGGAATTTAGTATCTAGTTGGCAAGATAAGTATGTAAAAATCTATAAAGTATCCAAATGTAAGAAACTTGAGAATAAGTGTATGAAAAAGGATGAACAACATATAGAGTAAGAGTTCAAAACAAGGAAAGATCCCTTCTTGATAGAAATATCCAGGATAGCTTCCTGTTCTAGAGGAAGTTGCATTTGAGCTTGGCCTAAAACAAAGGTGTGGAAGCAAGAAAGTGCCTAATGTGGCCCAGGGCAAATGTTAAATGTTCAGGCAGAGCTTTTTAATGCTATAACATGCATCCACGTTGACTGTATTTACAGGAGAAGGCCATCTAATCTAACCCAGGCCTTTGGCTCTGGATAGACCTATACCTAATGGCTTAATAAGAATCCCATCTTTAAAGCACTTCCTAGTAGAAGATTGTGCCATCTCCCTCTGTCACCCATTCCAATGTTTAAAAGACTTTTCTTTTTATGTACCTGCTATTTACAACATCCTTGGGAGTAAAATTCAAAATTACTCATTCCTAAATAAAAGTTACTATAAAATCGATCTCCTGGAAATTGTCCTGCCTTACCTAGGGGATGGGGAGGAGGTATTCAGGAGTCAAGCCTCTCTTCACAAACTGATAAAGAGTGTCTGCATGCTAAGGAGCAATAGTTAAGGTCCCACAGCCTATAAAAAGTTTTAAAACACACTTTCCTTATCCACTTAGTTTTTACCTGTGTAGCTTATTAGAGTAAGAATAATCTCTCCCGTAGATAGCTACTCCCCTCAATAGTCTAACCCTTGTTATGCATAGGATGATAGAATTCTAGAACTGGAAAGGGATTTAGAATGATAGAATTCTAGAACTGGAAAGGTTTTAGGAATATGTAGGCCAACCCTTTTACATTTACAGATGAGGTAACTGAGGCCCAGGGAGATTGAAATAACTTGTTGAAAGTCTCAATTGAATGAGTAGCTCTCCTGGGACTTCAAGCAAATCTTTTGACCCCTTGTCCAATGTCCTTTCTATTAAATCATGCTTTGATTCTATTTAAGCATAGTTTTTAAAGTGCTTTCACATTATCTTATTAAAACAATTGAATGATCACAATTAAATGGGGCCACTTTCATATTTGGTAGGCATAAATTTTAAAGATCCTTGTAAAGTGAACATTCTTTGGTTTAATGGAAGAAAAATGTTATCTGAATGCATTTTTTTAAGTTTCCAGAGAAGGGGTACTGATGAGAAGTATGATAGACGCTATACTTTTAAATATTATGTTTTCAATTCATTCTCATCACTACAGAAGGCAGATATACTGAGTGCCTTTTCCCTTCCAGTACTTCCAGGCGAAATAGTAACAGTTTCTGTACAAGTCATCGTTTACTTTCCCTTTGGGTGGGAAAAGCAATGTATCTGTAAAGTATACAAACAAAAGTTGTTTTCAGAATTTCAGGCATTATGTTTATTCATTCATTTCCTTTTAATTGAATGTCTAATTTTAAACTTCATTAGGCCAAAGGTACTTGCTTTGGATAATTCAGAAAAATACTTCATGAAATACTTCATACCTTTTTTTTGTATTTAAAACATACTATAATTTCTAAGTGGGAAGAGAAGCAAAATTGTGGCTGTAAATGAATTTTTTTTTTTGGTCTTACTAGACTCTGAGGTCTGTGAGAGCAGAGACTGTGCTTTATTTAAACTTTGTATCTTCTCTAGGTGCCTACCACAGTGGAAATTTAATAAATGTTTGTAGGAGTGCAGAATGAAAAAGATAGGAACAGCCTTCATCTAGAGGTCAAGCTAAAGAGAGAGACAGAGAGAGAATGAGAAAGATAGAGAGATGTGTAAATGTGTGTATGCCTATTCTCAATAAAGATATTGAAGAACATAGTCAGTAAATAAGAAAGTAAATACCTTATTTTTCTTTCTCTTTCCAAAGCCGAACAACAACTTATCCTTACACAGAAACCCAGATGTACAGCCAAAACACTGGAGGGAATTACTTTGATACCCAAGGAAGTTCTGCACAGGTGACTACAGTGGTCTCATCTCATAGTATGGTGGGCACTGGAGGGATTCAGATGGGTGTTACAGGAGGACAACTCATTAGCAGCTCTGGAGGAACCTATCTGATTGGCAATTCAATGGAAAATTCTGGCCATTCTGTGACGCACACAACCCGGGCCTCCCCAGCGACGGTAAGTACTTTATTTATTTTTTTTGAGTCCTCATAGTCTTTGATGGGTGTTTTTACTTTTTATATCTTCCTGTATAACAAAAAAAGTCAAAAAGGAAAAATCATGTTAATCAGTATTGATATTATTTTCATTGTTATGCTAATATTTAGAAGTTATCATTTTAATCATGATTTTATGAAATAAGGTAATTAATAATTTTTATTAAACTTCTAATTTTATAGAAGTTTTTCTTTAAGTTCAAGTAACATAAAATAAAATTTCATCCAGTCCTACTAAAAACATATCTTTATGTTATGCCTGATTGTTTTTATGACTTTTGGCATGTAATACAATCACCAAAGAAACAGGGAACAGAGTAAAAAAAATCATTAAATTCAATATTCTCTTTTCTACAGTTGGCATTTAAACTAGGTCTTTGCTTTTTTAAAAAAGTTGTAAGGCATCAGGCAAAAAATAAATCACCTTTGCCTTGGATAAACTATAACTATAAGATAGCATCATTATTTTTTGATAAAGAAATGAAACATATGTATGGACTTGAAATTTTATTTCTCAAATTTGGAACCAGTTCAGTGCTACAAAATATTTGCTCAAAATTTGGATTTCAGTAGAATGTGTTTTACTGTTTTATAAAGCAATTTCTAGCCAAAACCTCACAATCAGCCTTCAGTTGGTTTTCCCAGCTTTACAGCAAGACAAAGTAGAAGAAAATGTCCAGGGTCAAACAGCATGGTATTTGGAATTCCATAGCAGAGGTAGAAAAACAGATAATTACCTGAATTGTTGCTTGAATTCTGATCTTTCTCTCACCAGTGTGGACCTGAGTATACTTGTACTATGAAGGAAAAAGGGAAAAGTAGTTTTGAGGAAAATATTCATCTAATAGATTTTTATATTATTAAGTGGGATTTATTCAAGATTTTTATTATATACTTTGCATATATATATATATGAGAACTATATCTGTAAGCAATTTTATGTTACCAGTTAGGGATCATGACTTATTCCATGGGCTGGCATTTTCTTCACTTACTGCATTTTTCAGAATCCATTTTTTAAAGTGCTACATTTTTAATTTGTTGAAAGCTTCACTGTTTTGACTGAAAACTATTCATAATGACTTTTATTTTTGTTTCATTGGAATGGTCTTCAAATATATACATTTTTCTTCCCCAAAATACCTGTTCTTATCTCTAGTCAAATATAGTACTTGTAAGCTTTTATGTTGATCTGGTTTATAATTTATGCATTAGAAATGAAAGATCATTTTGCCATTAACAGTCTATGAGGCCTTGTATAAGTCCCTTAATCTTGCTGACCTGAATTTTCTTCTTTTTGAAAACTGAGAGGTTTAGATTAGGTCAGTGTTCTTGGCTCCATGCAATATGAGAGGGTGGGTGTTCTGTGACAGAATTTTCACGTTTGCAATGTGCTCCACTCTAAACTTTTAAGTATGAAATTTTGTATCTCAAAATGTAGATTAGGTGCAGCAACTCTTCAGTACAAAAATAGGCTTACTTTATTCTGCTCTAAAATTGCCCCGACCCCCTTTTTTTTTTTCAGAATCATTCCTGGGCCCTACTCCCAAAATAGTGTTTATGGGGATTCTGTTGTTATATTTTAAGCTTCAAAGTAGTTTCTAGCCAAATTAGTTTGGGAAATGCTAGACGAGATGATATATAAAGTCCCTTCCTTCTATAATTGTCTATAATTCTAATAAAAGATATATACAAAGAAATGATAAGAAATCCCAAACCTAAAAATTACTACATCTTACGAAAAAGAAGCCCCAGGAAAAGTTATACAAGAATCCCTCTTATTTTATTTATGCCAAAAACATAAGAGAAGATGATTTTTAGTGGCACACAAGGTTGTCACTCCTGAGGCCTTAAGGAAAATCACAAGGGAAGTGAAATTGACTTTCTCATCTGTTTATGGACACCCTTCTCCCTAGCCTGCAGTATCCAACATCCTCATGTTGTTCTCCAGTTATCCAAGGCCAGTGCATCTTTAAAGACTCTGCAGTGGATCATCGAGGCCTGATGCCTTCTCTCTTGAAATACCTCTTATAGGACTGCCCCTTTGTCCACCCCCCAACCCTCAGTCCTTCAGCTTTCTAGGAGTTAGGAAATTATGTGACTAAAGCAGTTCACACTAAGGAATAAAGAATTAATAGACTCGACCAACTTAGAGCCATTTGCAGTATAAAAGAATAGATTTTTAACCCAAGTGAAATCCTAATTGATAAAATGTGTCTGGAAGGTATTTTTGAATATGTGTCTTTTGGTGGCTACTAAAATTGAAGTCTGAACATGTAACACACGCTTCTGAAAGGTTGCCTCGCCACATGGTGGGATATAGTTAAACTTCACTGAAACTATTAATATGAAAATTTTAGTTAGAAGTGGAGATTAAAAGTAATTTTATTTTAGGACTAAGCTGTAAGGGCCAGTTTCAAATAAAATGTAAGAATATGCTGTAAAGAATTTATAGCCATTTTACATACATATAACAAATTGACTTTTATTACTAATTTGATTAGTTGATAATTTTTCTAAGATGCTGAATGATTTTTCATTGAATCAATGAATTGTATCAACAAATTAACCCACTCAGGGTTTGTTTGTTTTGTTTTTTGACACTTTAAAGAAACAGTTTGAGTTTATTAACATAGATCTGCTCGTTGTCAGTATGCTAAATTTAATTTTATTATTTTTAATAAAGACATAAATTTTAGCTCTTTATATAAATAATGGAAGGTAGTATGCCCCCTTAAAATAGATAGCACAAATGATTAATATTTTTATTAGAATATTATAAAAATTAAATTAAGTACTAATTACTAATAACAATGATGATATTACCATGGAAAACGACCAAATTCAGTATGCAACAACAAATATCCATATTAATGGTAATATACAAGAATTTATATGTATATATTTTTATTTTATGCTGAAGAAAGAAATACAATGAATATCTTGTGAGGTTGTTTTTGTTGTTGTGTGTGTGTGTGTGTGCTTTACAACAAAAAATTTGGAGGAAGTGAGGAAAAAATAAGTGAAAAGTTGTGTTTCATATAGAGCAATCTAAAGGAAATTGTTGAACTGAAGCCGACTTGAAACAGAATACTTATCTAAAGTATGGATTTGCTAGTACTTTATAGTGTTACCCTGCATTTATTGTCACCATTTATGTTTGAACTCAACTGTTTTCCCACTTTACACAAAACATCTTCTTTATCTGTTTGATCCTGCAATGAAATTTTAATTCTCAGTTTACATTATCATACCTATTACCATCATAAATATAATGGCATAACAAAGCTTAACTACCATGAAACCTGCTAAAGGAAGCAAGTGGCCATTATTTTTAAAAATGGTTTTCTTGATAGCTGACCTTCATCTGCGGGGTTTTTTGATAGTAGAACATTTAAAATCTAAAATAATTCAGCCTTTTCTATAGGTATTTCATCAATGTTGGTTCCCATGAAAAGTTTCATGTATATTTAATTCATTGCAGAATCAAATAAAAATTGTTAAAAAGCTAAAATGTGTAAGTACCGTTGGCAAATTTATAGGCAAAAGCTATGGTTGCCTTTATAAAACCAATTAACTAGACTCAGTTCAATTTCTTTGGCTATCTTTTGTTGTTCAACTATGCTTAATATGGAGGCAACTTGGTGGTACAGTGGATAGAGTATTAGACTTGGAATCAGAATGACTCCTGTATCTGAGTTCAAATGTGATTTCAGACACTTACTAACTGCATGACCTTGAACAAGTCACTCAATCCCATTTGCCTCAGTTTCCTCATCTGTAAAATGGGCTGCAGAAGGAAATGGCAAACCACTCTAGTATCTTTGCCAAGAAAACCCCAAATGGAGTCACAGAGAGTTAGACATGACTGAACAACAATAAATGCTTAATATGGCTGAAATAATCAATTAGAATTTGGTCAATTCTAGAATTTATGTCCTGTGTGGACACGACTTATGTTTGCAGAGGCAAAGAGAAGCAAAGAGTTGACTAATCTAGTGTACATAGTTAAACCTTATAATCCTAGGAGGAAAATCAGAAAGCCTTTTTCTCCTGCTTACTAACTAGATTTTTTTTTTAATTATCTGGATAATTGCCTTGATTTTTCCACTTCGCTTAGCTTGTGTGGATACAGGTACAATTTTGTTTAAATACAGTGGTAAGGGGTTTCCTAGCATGAAAATCCATTTTATGAAGATGCTATCTTGGAAATATATTTAGCATTGGAAATATCTTTACCTACTCCAGTATTAAGAACATAATCATATTTGTAGTCCTGTGGGAGCATGAAAGTCAAGTGAGTTACAACTAATGTTTCTAAATGGCAACTTTTTTTTGCCTTGAAACACATTTCACTTTAATTTTATAATTTTAAATGCAAAAATAAATCATTTAAATTTTTTTCCTATTTTTTCATAGTCCATCATGCATTTCGTCCTTGGATTATATGCTTTATAAAAGCTAAATTCTTGAAGTGTCTTGAAAATATTGACTAAGTGCAAACGTCTGCTTATGTCACCATTTGTTTGGGCGAGCGGGTCAGATCACTAAAAATTGAGTTATTTTTGGCTAATGCAACAGTAGAAAGCAAACTTTAGTTGGAAAGCTGTCCTGGTAATACTCAAAAATGGTCTCTGTCCTTTCATCCACTGTGTTCTTTTAGGTCATTTGCTGATGAGATAATGAAGATATATAAAGAAACTTGCAAACTTAACAAGGCTCCAACTGTAGAAGAAGTATAAGCTATAAACTTCTCATTTGTTTACCATAATGAATATATCTAAAAGTCATTTCACATGCTTAATTGTTAGCTAGGACATTTGGGGAACGTTGCATACCTTTTTTATTGTGCCCTTAGTAGATGTATTTAATTAAATATAATTTAACCTGTAATTTTTTAAAGTATTAAATCTTTTCACACTATTACACATTGATACTAAGACTCCATTTATTTTTAATATC